CGTCGTGTGCTACCGCTTGCAAAAGGAAGCGCCCGCTTCGTTTCTTCCTGTTTTTCGACACACGGCTCGCGTCAAACGGTTCTTCTCAACCCTCACGTCGTTCACGTCGCATCGTTCGTTGTTGCGCCGTTGTTCGCCTCTACTCCCGTGATATTCTACCGCGCGTGTATACGTACAGTGTGAAGCTTCGTTCTTTCTTTTTTTCCTTTCTTTCTTTCTTTCTCTCTTTTTTTCCCTCCCCCGTGTGAATTGGTCGAAGGCAAGCCGCGCAGCGAGCTACGACACGGTCGCGTATCGAACGCCGGGTCGTAGAGCAACGTAGAAGCCCGAGCCTGAATTATTTCTGTCATCAATCGAAAGTGTCGGAGAGGAAGAGAGGAACGGACGAAAGAAGAGGCAGGCGAGGAGGGACTAGGAGGAACGCACGTACGTGGCTCGTCGCCGTGAGTCGCGAGCAGCGACGATCCAAGGCTGCTCGACCGAGGCCCGCCGAACAGCCGCACGAGGGCAGAGTTGTAGCTTCACGCGGGTTCCTCTCTCCTTTCGCGGTGGTTCCTCCTTTCGCGGTGGAAAACGCGGAGCCTTGCAACCGGAGGGCAAGGGACGAGGGCGAACAAGTTTCGCGGAAAGGTTCTTGCAGAGGGTTGGATTTGCCGCTGGCTGCGCTCGGCAAGGAGGACGCCAGTGCTAGCGGCTTCACGCCAAGACACAGGCAAAAGAGAGACAGAGAAAGAGAAAAGGAGAGGGGACCACTTACCAGAGGGAGTTATCGACTACACACGTAAGGCGACAGCGCACACGTACGGATACACAAACATCGCGGACCTGTTGTCCAACTTGTTGCTCGTCCCTGCAAAAGGCACACCTCGTCTACCATCCGCCACTCACACACGTTTGCTTTTTCGAAAAAGGACCTCCAGTTGTTTACTATTCTGTTAACTCGAGCACGGCTCGCCGGAAACATCCCGAATTTCTCCTGGGCTGGAACACCCTTACACGCCGGCTGGCTCTCCCTCTCTCTCTCTCTCTCTCTCTCTTTCTCTATTATTCGGATAGCTTGCCTAGAGAGATATCGCGGTCCAAGTCAAGCGCCGCAAACAGGAAACTGGCGACTTGACGCTTGTTCCTCCACCTGTTACCTGGAATTGTACAGCTTCTTCTTAAGGAATCTGTTGAACGGCGAAAAAGATTCGAGAGAGACAACTGGCGTTTGTTTCTATTGCGATGATCGGAAGTCTCCTGTTGAGAAGGAGGATCATTTTTTAGTGGAATCGGAGCGGTAGCGAAGATTCACCGCGCTGGAAATCGCCGAGATGAGGGTATCATCGTCGCGAAAATGGACACGCCCGACGCTGCACGAGAGTGTTGCCGGTAGAATGGAACGATGCTCGGATCAGGAGGGCGAGTAGAAAGCTGAAGACTAGTCCTCTCTCTCGAGTCGCGAGAACTTGACAGTGACTCGTTGCGATACGGAACGGGAGCGAACCAAGGTATAAAATATACAACATGAATACTCGATCGTGAAGTACACGTATACAGTTTTCAGTAACGGTGAACGCTGAAGCGAATAATTAATTCGAAATTGAGAAATTTTCCAAGAGGGCAGACTGAAGAAGAGGACATCGTTGATAAATAGTTGGGATTTTATTCAGCTACGATGATGCTACGCGTGAGCAGAGGATTTATCCAGAGGAAGTACGTAAGCACCGGAGGCGACGAGAAACGAAAGACAGGGCAGAGATAGACGAAGATCGCGAAACACACACCGCAGCAACCACACGTAATCTTCCACCCGTGAATACAACGAAAGCAATACTACAAACAAGGTAAAGCAACAAAGAGAATCTAAGAAAAGAAGCAAATTAAGAAGAAATAAAGCAAAACAAGGTACACAATTTCCCCCCGCCCCCCCCTCTCTCTCTCCCTCTCTTTTATGAACTCGAGAAGTCATCAGGGGGAATCTCACCTGGAACCTGTGAGTATGGAACACACACGAACCGAGTGTTTTTATTAAAAGGAACAGAAAGGAAGGGAAAGAAAGTAGTTCCAGCAGGAAAGAAACTTCCGCACTTCCGGGTGTTGGCCGAAATCTCGAGTTGGACTGACTCGCTTCGCCGAAAGAGATATTTTAATATAAATCTATATATACACGCACGTGCAACTGTAATAAATACACGGATGTACAAGTAAGATATTTATAAATACACACACACGCACGCACGCACGAACAAAGACACGTGTGGAACACACACATACACACACACACACACGTAGCTCCGTTTGAAACCGTGCAACGACATCTAGAATTAAAATAGCGCGGCGGATCGGAAATCGGCGTTTCCGGCGAGAGGAGCCCGCCACACGGAGAGAGAAGTGTCCCCGTGTTCTGACCAAACCTCGCCAATCAAATATCGATGCTGCGCCGCAGTTACTTCGAGTTCGGCTAATTCCTCTCGAGACGTTCGTACGTCGAGCCCGCTCGCAGCACGACACACAGGCAGCACAGGAATTTGGTTAACGAGCAAGAGGACGGCACGATCGAGGCGAGCAAGAGAAGTAGGATGAGGACGAAGAGACCGACGATGAGAAACGACGACGTGGCGTTGGTGTTGTTTGGCTGAGGCACCGCTTGATCGTTGAATCGAACGGTAATCCTGGTGGCCTCCGCGAGGACCATCAGGGCGACATTTTGCGCGAATCGAAGCCTCACGATCGATCGTCCGATAAACGACGATCGGAACTCGCCGTCTATCTGGTGCTCTGGAAGTACGAACTTGCTTCGACGATCGACTATTTTCGAGAGGATTTTCTGTTTTTCGCAAGAGAATATAAAAATTGGAGAGAGATTTCGTCTTCTTCGGTCAAGAGGCAACAGTCGGGATCTATACACACGGTGCTCTGGAAATACAAATACTTGGAGAGAGGACTCGAGTCGAGGAAAAGGAAACGACAATAGAAAGATATCTTCCGTTTGAAAGTAACACAGAACGATCGAAGGATTTTCTTCTTGTTTTTCATCCCTTGTCTCTCAGTCGCAGATAATTGTTCGAATAA